CAATCAAAATGAACATGAAAGGTAAACATTTTGAACCACTTCAGGACTCTAAGCAGCCATTACAGCACAACTAAAGACATGAAACAGGACTTCCAGAAGTGCTACAGAATGTGCAAGTACAATGGGATAAGAGTGTTCCAAATGAGGGGGAGTATTTTGAGGGGAATTAATGACAATGAGTTGGACTGTAGTAAATTTTTAAAAATTTAAACACACCATATTTTTTGATCCCACTTCATGGACTAGCAAGTCAAGCTATGGTTTCAATTTTCTCTTGCTCAGTTCAATAGGAAAGGACTTAACAGTATTCACACACATTTGGAAGTACAAAAGTAAATCTTATCTAAAGTTTCATAATCATCAGCCCTTTACCCATGTCCAGAAAAACAATTACAGTCGAATTCTATATCCATGGATTCTCAACCAGATTGAAATGCTGGGAAAAAAATGCACCTGTACTCAACATGTACAATTCTTTCATCATTATTTACCAAACAATACAGTATAAAAACTACAGCATTTACTGAAGGTATCTACTGTTAAATAATGTAGAGAAGATTTAAAAAGTATATGAGAGGATGTGCCTAGGTGCTATGCACATATTTACACAAAGGACCGTGCGCACCCTCAGGTACCTGCAGGGTTCCTAGAATCAATCACCCACAGATATGGGGGATGACTGTACTTTTAACCTACAATCCCTCATCAGTTTAACCTCTGTGCCAGTGTCCCATTACAGATATGTAACATCGACATTCATTCCTTACCTCACTGACACCAGGAAATTTTTAAACAAAAACCTTCTTTTCCCATTTACTTCCATCCTCTAAAAAGCCTTAGAGCTTGTTACATTTGAAGCTAACAATATTTGTTTCAAAGAATGATCAAATTATTTCCTGATCTGTAACATTTAATATAGACACTGAAAATGTCTATCTTTGACAGTAACAGGAAGATATCTGTACTATGTAGGACAACCTATCTGTACTCAGAACTACCAAATGAACTAAATTCTATACAGGGAGATACCATACCACAGGGGTAAAGTTCATTAGCTTGAGTCAGACTGAATTTCAAACTCCACTCTTAATTTTACCAAGTTCACCTCTTCGTACCTCAATGTTTCCATCTGTAAAGTGGATGATGCCTCCCTCCTGCATAGCAGTCTCACTAAACAATGGAGTGAACTGCTTTCACAGTGCTTAATAAATATTACTGTACCTTAATATTCTGCTCTAGATTCTCCTATCAGTTTGATTGATCTATTTATAGAACTTATATACTGCTTTAAATCAGGACGGTAGACATGGGTACACTTTTTACACAGAGGACTAGATATTTTCAGCCTTGCTGATCAGATTCTCTCTGTAGCTACTGCAGCACAAAAGCAGCCAGAGACACGGACACAGATGAGAACGGTAGCTCTGTTCCAATAAAACTTTATTTACAGAAACCAAAATTTAATTTCATGCAACTTTCCTTCTACAGTCTTCTTTGACTCCATTCTACTACTTAAAAACATAAAAACTATAGTTTCTAGGCCATACAAAAATAGGAAGCAGGCCACATTTGGCCGATAGGCGGTGGTTTGCTGTTCCATCCCTGCTCTAGATGAAATATATGAGCTTTTTGCAAGCTCTGTGTGGACAGAGACCTAAAATAAAGGTTGGTGTTACAAAAGAAAGAAAAATTTAAGTACAATCGAAAAAGAAGACATTTAATGCTATCATCCATCTATTAACACTGGACTCATCCATGTACAAAACATGGTACTATGCAATGCTGGACTCTGCTCTCAGGGAGTTTACATCTCTCTATAGAAGCTCAGAAACTGAAGGCCTTCTCCAAAATACAAAACACCCTTCTCAGATTTTTACAAAGCTGATGTGTCAGGGAGTCTCCACATACACCCTAAGCCAAACTTGATTATACTGATGCCTCAAGCTTCCTGCCTCCCCAGTAATTTTACCACCAGTTCTTTCCTCCTCCTCCAAGTTACTGTTTTGCATTATAATTTTTTTAGTAATATTCAGGATGATGGACAAAGGGTCAGCTACTCTCATTTCTTTAAAAGAAAAAATTATCATTGGGCACACATTTATTATCCTAGCACTTTGGAGGTTAAGGCAGGAAGACTACCTCAAGTTTGAAGCCAGCCTGGGATACACAGTGAGTTCAAAGCCAGCCTGAACTACATAGCAAGACTGTCTGAAAAAACAAAAACCAAAAAAACTAAACAAATCATTTAAATAAGAGTCTTCAGGGATTAGCATCCTCCTTTTAACAGGTGACATGTTAGTGACTCCTGCAGTTTTTCACTGCAATCCAAACAGAAAAAACCTGGCCCTATCTCCCAGGAAAAACAGGTCTATCATAAGGCAAAAAAGATACATCAGAAAAATATTTTCATTCCCTTTCTTGGTCAAAAAAATATACTTTTTTAGAGCAAAATGTTAAGTATTTTATCCAAAAGAACACAAAACAAACATAAAATACAGCATCCAGTATACTTCAGTTGTCAGACTGTGGATTTGAAAAAAATATACCAAAAATTAAATGTCAATGCATTAGAGCAAATGAAGACTAGAAAGCAAAGGTATTAATATAGCTAGTGATTAAGAAAAAAAACAATAGTTTATAAAAACAAATAACTATTAATTGGGGGGGGGGATAAGGAAGCTTGAACCCAGGGCCTTTTGACTGAGCTACAGCCCCAGCCCTTTTTTGTTTTTGAGACAGTGTCTCAGTAAGTTGTCCAGGCTAGATTCAAACCTGTGATCTTTCTCCTTTACCCCCATGAGCCTCTGGGATTACAGACATGTACCACATGCCTGCTTTAATAAGTATTATCATTATAACATATGATTAGCAAGACAGTTGACACCAATATTGGCCTGACTGAGATACTAGAATGGAATTCACTTCTTACACACGTCCCTACCAAGAAGTATCTGTATTCAGTTGAGTGTGGTGGTACGCTCCTGTAATCCCAGCTGCTCAAGATCCTGAGGCAGGAGGATTGCCAAATTCCAGGCTAGATTGGGAAATTTAGCAAGACCTCTCAAAATAAAATAAAAAGGGTGGTGAGTATAGCTCAATAGCAGAGCACTTGGCTAGCATGCACAAAGCCTTGGGTTTAATCTCCAGTATAAAAAATAAATATTAATAAAAATATCTGTATTCTATAAAGAAAACAGAACATAACAAAGAGGAGAGAGTAGTATTCCTGTTAAGATCATCTCATCAAAGTCAAGCCTGGTAGTGTGTTCTGTAATTCCAGCACTTTGGCAGCTGAGGCAGGAACATTGCTCAGAGTTTAAGGCCGGCCTAGGCTACAGAGTGAGTTCAAGGCCAGCCTGAATATAGCAATACTCTGGGCTCAGAACAACAAACACAACAAAAAAAGAACATCTTATCAGGAAAGAACTGATTCACCTCAGCAGAATCTCAAACCAAAATGAAGGGAAAGGCAGTGACTAAAGAGTAATTAACAATGACAAAAAAAAAAAGTTAAAAGTAAAATATTTGGGTGAGGCCAAAAGGTACTAAAGAGCTTCAAAAGAAATGAGTTTGTCAGTTCTTGGGTATTTGAATGAAACTAAGCAAAGAAATAAGTAGCTGGATTTAAAAATAAGAACAATAAAAAGTGGATGTGGTGGCACGTCTCTAATCCCAGCACTTGGGAGGCTGAGGCAGATTTCAAAGTTTAAGTCCCATGTAGACAACTTAGCAAGACCGTTTTAAAATTAAAAATTTTAAAAGGCCAGGGAATGGGAATGTAGCTCTGTGGTGGAGCACCCTCCCATTCAATCCCATACATATATAGTTTTAAAATTTAATAAAAATAAAAGCAATTAATATGTCCTTGCCATTCTCAAATTTTTCAGTTACACTTTCAGCTACTCCTAAGTCACTCAGGAAGTGGTGAAAAGCAATTTAGGATGTGATTCGTTCCTATGAGAAGGTGGTTGTGTGGGGAAATCTCCTAAGGAATACAGCCAGCAGACTTCTTGGCTTCCAGAATCAACAGGGATTTGCTTTTTTCTTTCTACTCCACTGTCCCGACAGTGAGGATTTGCAGGAAAGTCTTAAAAACTTCCAGTAGTATGTCTCAGTGTGCTGCACAATGCTGATTCACAAATATCTCAGCATATCTCCCTCACAGTCCAAGAGTTTTATGCATAATCCCGAAATGATTGACTACATTCCATCAGTCTTAAGGATATCCATATCCTGTGTCTTCTGCTACCTCCATGTCATTCTTCATTATGCTGATTATATGAATACTGCCCATAGGCAGAAATTCACCAGCTCAAGTAACCCACAGCCTTTCTAGGCGTGGTGGTGCACGTGCTTATATTCCCAACACTCTGGGAGACTGAGGCAGGAGGACTACAAGTTCCAGCCCAGCCTGGGCAACTTAGCAATTTAGTGAGAACCTGCCTCAGGGATGGATGGATGGATAGAGGGAAGGAAGGGATGAAGGGATGGATGGATGGATGGATGGATGGACGGATGGGGGTGCCAGGTATTGTGGCACATGCCTATAATGCCAGCATTTGGGAGGCTGAAGTAGGAGGATCAATATGAGTTTAAGACAAGCCTAGATCACAAAGCAAGACCTAGCCTCCAAAAAAGAAAAGGCTGGGGATGTAGCTCAGTATAAAGCCCCAGAGACTTAATTCCCAGTACTGAAAGGGGGAGGGGGGAATCAAAGCCCTGTGCAGAGAATTCTCATGCCAAGAAAAGTCTGCTCTCCTACTTTTCTACGTATCAGAGCTGAAAAACATTTAAGAAAATCACTTGGTTATAATATATAAATCACTATATAATGTAGAGTCACAACTATCAAAGGTAAAATAAGCAATGTCAATGAAATTAGTTTATAAAAAAGCTACAGGGGAAATTCAATTCCAAAAATACTTATTTTTAGTCTCTACATAAGTATTTTATCAACTCCAAAATTGTATCTTTTAGACTCTGGTCATTCACAATGTAAATTCAGATAAGCAAATATTTTATTGACTAATTCCACTGTTGGCCAGTAAAGCTTTTAATGATAAAAACATAAAATGTGGCAGAAAACCTTGACTTTATTAATCTCCCTTATAATACTGAATACAAATGTAAAATTAAATGGTAACACAATATTATAAAGTCTATTTCAAAGCACCATCTCCTACATTTAAATTTAGAGCAGATATAAGTCATTAGATGGAGGGGAACCAAACAACCAAATCCAAAAGCAAAAACAAAACAAAACCTACTCATGTATTGTAACATTTGAGTTACAGCCCTTATGACATTCATTTAAGTAGTATTTTCTTCTGACTTCACGTCAAATTCATTAGTAGTAAATTGTAAACCAGAACCTATAATCCATCACAAATATTCCAATTATAAGTTGAAAAGAAACAGGCAGATATATATGACATAGTTTATGAAATTTACCCTAGTTTGCCCTTCATATCTGTGAGTTATGTCCATGGATTCAACCAGCTGCAGAATTAAAATACTTAGGGAAAAAAAGTTCCAAAAGGCAAAACTTGAATTTTCCACGTGCCAAGCACTATGTCCAATCCACAGAAATGGAGTGTTGTGTGGCACACCCTACTTTAGCCGCCTGCCATTTCACAGATCCTCAGGCTCCCTCTAGTGCTCATGGTTTAGAATTGCACATCTTGCACTTGGGTTTCTGTGTGGTATGGTTAGGCTTAGGATGGTTCTATCTGTACTGAACATATACAGACTTTTCTTGTCATTATTCCCTAAATAACACGGCATGAAACTATTTACGTAGTATTTACATTTTCTAAGGTACTATATCTGGAGAGGATGTAAAGTAATATGGGAGGATGTGCGCAGGTTATATCCAAATGCTACGCCATTTTATGTGAAGGACTTGAACCTCTGGGGACTTTGGTGTTCTCTAGAGTCCCGCAATGAATCCCCTGAGAATACTGAGAGAGGATTGTAGCTGAAATGCACATATAAACTTCAAAACTCGAAAGGACCATGATAGTCATAAAACCCAAAGACAAGATAAAAAAGCCTACCTTTCAATCTTTCTGCATTTTAAGAAATGATTTAATATGTTAATGTAGAAATACACTATATTTCAACATCAAAAAGCTATGAAATTTAAGGGAAGAGCCAATAAAATTATGCATTTTAAAACCAAAAAGAGCACATCAGGGACACCTTAAATTATAAAATTCAGTTCTAAGTAGGAACTGTTACCGTGTAACACATGCTGTCATATCAAAAGTGCTGGTGACAAATTCTGTTCACATACACACATATCTATCACAACTGTAATAAGATTTTAAATGTTTAAGGTGCTTGAAGTTTGCACTGCAGGACTAATTGGATTAGCATTCATCTGCTAGCTCTTTGTAGCAACTCCAGTTAGGATGATGGACAGACAAAATCTGTTACTTTCTAAAATGTGGCATTTGTGGAGCTGGAGTGCCCTCTATTGGTGAAGAAGAGGACACACTCATTAGCTGTCCTGAATGCATTTTCTCATTGATTCGGAGTTCACATCCATCCTGAAGCATTCGAACTGCTATTCTGGCAATGTTCTTAGAATCATCAAGACCACTGTGAGGCCGCCCATCATAATCCATTCCTAATTTTTCAAGCATTATCGTCAGTTTGGTTTGGCTTCTAGGAACCTGAAAAATAAAACAGCTTAGAATAAATAATTCTTCACTGTTCTAAAATGCAGTATATAGCCAAAATTACGTTGAAAAATAAGAAACTGAAAATTAACAGTAGTAGCAAAATTAAGTTAGGCAACATGCAATACTCTTGATCAAATAAAGCAGGCAACTCAAATTTTAAGTTCTTAGTTTTAGCTGAAAACAGAATCCTCAGACATCTAAAATATTTGCAGTTTTGTAATTTAACAAAAACTTATTATAGGAATGTATTGCTCTGGACATCTAAATTGAAGATCTACCTTTTAAACTTAATTTTAGGCATAGTATTTTTCTGTAATTACTTTATTTGAATGATTCCTTAGATAAAAGGAATGGTCTTTTTAGATGACTAAAACCAATGAAGAATAATTAAAGGGTGATGTTGTGTGGTACTTTCCCACATCCCCCAAATTCCATTATGCTCCTTCACTTTTGTATTTTCTTCATATCCCTACCACAAAAGAATATTTGTCGAGTGTTCCATTCTGCAGTTTGAGTAGCCATGTTACCTATGCATCTTGGAGCTTTAGCTTCTTCACCTATAATATGGAACTAACATCTGTATTATGTACTCATAGGGTTACTAGTAGAATGACAAAGCAAATGATATAGAAGCACCATGATAAACATCAATAATTTTCTTAAGCTGTAACAATGGAATGCACTCTGTCACTTCCACTACATATTATTTAGAAAATGTGCTTGTAAAAATTTTTCCAATACATTGGGTAACTTAGGTGGAAGGAATAAATTCCTAAAAACTCACAACCTACCAAGACTGAGTCATAAGTAAAGAAAATTTGAATAGGCCTATACTCAGTAAGGAGACTGAATCAGTAACTGAGAAGTTCCATAAAAAAGCTGTGGACCCAAAGGTTTCAACGCTGAGTTTGACCAAATACTTAAAGAATTAGCACCAACTCATCTCAAACTACTCCAAAATATCGGAGAGGAAGGAACACTTTCTAACTTATTTTATAAGGCTCATATCACTTTGATGCCCAAGGAAGATAAAAATGCCCCCAAAATACAAGCAAATCAAAGTCAGCAGTATATTGAAAGGGATATATATCATGACTAGGTAAGATTTATCCTTGGATTGCAAAGATGACTCAACATATGAAAATCAATACAATATACCACATTAATAGAAAAAAGGAGAAAAACCACATGACTATTTTTAAAAAGAATTTGACAAAAGTCAACAACTTTTTATGGCAAAAACAATAAAAATAAGGAAACTATCCCAACACAATAAAATAAACACTGTGTAAAAATCCATAGCTAATATTATATTCAATAGTTAAGAACAAGACAAGATATCCACATTCACCTGTTCTATTCAACATAATTTTATAAGTTCTACCCAGTTCAATTAGGCAAAAAAAAAAAGTATCCAAAAAGAAGAAAGCAAAATTACCTCTATTCACAGGTGACATACTGTCTTATGCAAAAAATCCTAAAGATTATGCGCACACACGTACACACACACAAGCACACACTCCCCGTTAGAGCCAAGGATGATGGCTCATGCCTGCAATGCTAGCAATCTGGGAGACTGAAGCAGCAGAATTGCAAGTATGAGCCAAACGTGGGTAACGTGGCAAGACCCTATCTCAAAATAAAAAACTTAGGGCTTTGTGTGTAGGTCAGTGAGAAGATCTTGGATTCAATCCCCAGGTTTTTTTAAAAAAAAGTTTGAACTCCCGCAGGGCCGGGCCCCACCCCACCCCACCCCACCCCACCACCGCCCTTCCGGGGCCAGATGTCCCCGCGGCTCCTCCCCTGGCCTTTGGTTCTCACCGGGCGGCTCCTCGGAGTCCAGGGCGCGGCCCTCCAGCTCTGCACTGCTCTGGGCACTGCCATCCCCACTGCCGCAGCGCTGGCTCGGCAAGACCAAGGACTCCGCCATGGGCCCCGTGTTAAATCTGTGCTTTCGGAACAGCGCCCGGACAGAGGGGTCCAGAGCAACGGCGCCTCCGGGAAGCTGCGGAACGGGAGCCGCTTCCAAGGTGTTCACAAGAGACAGCAGGGGCACAACAGGACACTGGAACGAACCCCCTTGAAGGCACAGATACACAGAATAGCTGCTGCTGAGGTGAACGGGCACAAAACCCCACCTGTTTCCTGGACTACTCTGCCACAAGCAAAAGCCTTAAGTCATTGATGGAAGGTCAGCAAATATTCCCCCAGAACGCAGATACTGCTTCTGTGGGAGAAGCAGAAGCCAAATCCCTCAACCTCTGAGAGAAGGATAGTACACCCACTCGATCCCATGACAAAGCCAAAGACGCTTTATTTCTTGGAGGTTGGAGGTAGAAGCAAAATAACTTCATTTGGAGGACAGTAGAAAT